GTCTCGTTCTTTACCATCTCCTCTTTTACCAGCGAAAAAAAGAAGTATACAAAAAAAAGAGAAGCACGAATGACAACGACTACTTGCGTATTATCTATCCTAATCTTGACATATATATGTTTACAGAATAACGGTTCGTTTTTTTCTTCTTCTGTCGTCTCTTCACTGTTGATAGATATCTGTAAAATATTCATTCGTGTGCATAACAATGAAAACGAAAAGACTAAATTAAAAAATCTTTCATATCGATGATCTCTTTTATAGATCGGTTAACTATTGGTTATGTACATGTTTTCAAATAGCGTGACAGATAGGAGAGAAGAACAAACGATTATTTGTCCCATCAGTTGTTCTTTTTCACACGCATTCGCCGTGACGCGAGACGTACGCATGAAAATTAGGATAATGGTTATTTTGATTATCATCGTTCAACTATTACTATTCATACATACATATATATCGCATGTGAGAATATATAACAAGAATAAAAATAATTTTCTTACTTAAACGACGACAAAAGTAACAATGTTCGTGTCTTGCCAACGGCCAAAAATGACGGCGAAGTTCGACATCTAAAGCGATAAGCTATCATTAATCTTTGATAGAATGAGTCGAAGAGGGAGTAGCACAAAAAAATATTCAGGTGAAAGAAAGAAAGACCAAGAATACGCACACCTGTCCTTCTTGTGTTATTACGATTCTTTATATATCGTTATCCTGTTATACAAAGAGTTGGATTAACGCTACTATATACCCTCTGAGTGACCCGATCAATGAACATATTCAAACAAAAAAAATGAATGTGTATTATCGCTTCTTCTGGCAAGACATACAATTTGAGTCCATAGAGATGAAGGAAAAAAAGAGAGAACGAGAGAGAGAGAGAAAGAAGAAATGGATTTCGGGTGGTGATGGTGGCGGCGGTGTGCTCTTGTGTCAAACATACACACAAATCACAATCAATTCTAATACACATCGTGCGACAGACCTCCTCCCCTCTCGAGCCGAACGGTAATCACTTTTTTCCTCTCTTTCTAAGTAGAAGCAGCAGCAGCAGCAGCAGCAGCAGCAGCAGCAGCCGAGACGTCGTGTTCACTATAAAATTCATTCTCGCCCGTCTATCGACTCGCTTTTCCCCTACCTACCTTCATCTTTCTGTTAATCGTCCATTTTTGATAAGATGCCATGCCCGATGTCGTCTCTCTAGATTTTATGTTCTCGTTCTCTTTGTTCGGAGAGTTAATCTAACATAAGGTTGAGTACTGTCGATTTCTTTCCTTGTCATCATCGTCGTCATCCTGATTTACGAACAAACAACATGTAAGAAAAAAAAGTAGTAGTAGTAGTAGTAGTAGTAGTAGTAGCGCAACACTATCGACTAAGGTAGATTATACAGAAGTAAGAACGGGGATCAATGTCGGCAGTAATCAGCAGACAGAACGAAAAAACCCTGGTGGAAAAAAGAAGTTTAATTGAGTTTTCGCTTACCCGTCTACAAAGCAGGCGCATTTGGTATGCGATAAACCTAAGCTGATATATTGTGCATTATTGAGACAGGAAAAATGTTAACAAAGAAAAAGCTAGAAAAAAAAGAATTTCCGAGTTGAGATTAGGAACTGAGCAATATGCGCGTTGTCAGAATGCATAGCGGCTCACTCACTTTCTCTCTCGCTTCTTCTATTTTTTTAATCCAGATTAGCTGTTCGTAATGTATATAGGCTGCATTCAAGCGAAGACCGGAGATTAATAATGATGATGAAAGACCATTTCTCAATGATATTGTATTAAATATGAGATTATCAATATAATCGCTTGTTGGATCGATGAGCAAATCACAGATTCATATCCGAAGATTATACGAATAGAATTTTAATATTTTAATTGGTTGATTATAGAAAATTTGTTTTTAACTTAGTCTCAAAATTTTGATTTACAAATAAAATAGATACGAATCAACGCAGTTCTTCGATGAAATCGATAATCCATTTTGAATTTATTGACGAAAAACTCATCCTGATGAACTTGCAAGTCAATGTTAAACAATTACTATTAAAACATTGGGAAGAAAAAGGCATCAGATAAATAAATTCATTTTCGATCTATATACTTTTCATGCTAACAATGAATAAATTGTTCTTTTTATGTTTTTTAAAAAAATTATATTTTTCGTTCCGACGATTGTTACATTATAATTGATTTCATAGTATCGAATATACGCTGGTCATGATTGTTGCTTGAATATCTTCATAATTTGAAATATGATATTGTTCGAAAATAAATGTTATAATGTATTGGCTGTCGTACACGGTATAGTAGTCGTTGTTAAATAGAACAATTGAAAAATGTAAGATGTTTATTGGATATTTAATGGAAAAAGAAACTTTTAATGAGTTTTAAACGTTCAGAAATACACCATCTTGAATACATTTTTTTCAATATTAACGGATGAAATGTTAAAATCAAGCAGAATGCGGAAGAAATCCATGATTAGACTGTACATTTCTTTTTTTACAGTAATCTGTCACTTTCATGATCATAATAGTATAATACTGGCCATTTCCGTAATTGATTCATACGCTTACCAGTCTGAAGTATTGCAAGACTAAGCAGTATATTAGCTCTACTTAATTGGTTTTTTTTGTTTAGTTGCAGTCAAAAAAAAAAAAACTTCATGGTACTCTTAACCATTGAAATGTCAACATCTCAAACAGATGAATAAGAAAATGTTTTTTTCTTTTGATTCATCAAATAGTTATTCATGGTTAATAATGCATCGCTCTTTATAGATTGTCATTCGGCGATGATGAAACACAGTAGAACTAACGAGGAAACCTCTCCAAGTGATGCCAGCCATTCGGGTTCATATTGTGCTCATAAGTAGGACCCAGTGAGATTAGAAAAAGTCTAAAAGATTTCGTGCCATTAGGCCTTCTCTCAAAGTTATGAACGTTTTACTAAATTTTTGACCTTGAACAAGTAATTTATAGAAAAACTGAATGAAGGAATTTCGAACTGAAAATTTTCCTAACAATAGGTCTCATTGATGTAAGAAGGTTCCAAAATTTTCAGTGAAAACGGATGCACCGTTTTCGAGATATTGAATATTGATGAAAACGACCATTTTCCAAAAAAATGTCGTAAAATTGACTTCTCTTCAATATTCAATATCTCGAGAATGATGCATCCGTTTTCATTGAAACTTTCGGAACCGTCTAACATCGATGAGACCTATTGTTAGGAAAATTTTCAATTCAAAATTCCTTCATTCAGTTTTTCTATAAATTACTTGTTCAAGGTCGAAAATTTAGTAAAACGTTCATAACTCTGAGAGAAAGGCCTAATGGCACGAAATCTTTTAGACTTTTCTAATCTCACTGGGTCCTACTTATGAGCGCAATATGAACCCGAATGGTTGGCATCACTTGGAGAGGTTTCCTCGTTAGTTATTAATATAAAATTAACTGAGGTTTTTCGAAAATAGCTTTTCTATCATTATACATAAGTACAGACACACTCACACAGTGTGTGATTTTATTCGAAATACTAGTTTCAGTATAAACAGCATTTTTGTTTTTAATTTAAAACATGAAGTTTTTTTCAAAAGAATCAATTCTACATTTTCATAGACTCTTTTAGTTTTAAATATTTATATTATGTTGTAATTCAATTAACTTTCTTTTCCATAGATTTATGCTATTATATGACTAAAATCCATTAGGAAGATTATTATCTGTATAAATATAATCCTAATTCTTTTATCTTCTAAATTCATGTTTATGAATAGGTCAGCATAATATTTTATGAAAGTTCTCCAACTTTAAAATGTATAAATTAAAAATCTAAAGTACAATGTCATACATAAACGTAACGGTACATGCACATAATTTCCATAATCGACTTAAAACAATTCTTTTAATGCGTCCATTAAATCTTTATAAGATAATTTACTTAACGATTTTCACTTATTTTCTCAAATTCATTCACGTCATTCTCTCTTACATTTGTGTTGCTCATATGCTAGAAAGATTTTCCATGTACGCAGTGAAACAGACCGTAACGATAAAAAAATATCATGACGTCATCATGTTATCTTTATAAGAAAAAAATAATACTTTTAATAAAGCGTCAATGGCGTCATAACATTTTTCTTCTTCTACTATGGATCGAATAGATCAAACACGAATGTTTTATATTTATTGAAACAAATCCAAACATGACCGTCAAGCATCGTAGGAAATAAATACCGATTGATTTTTATTAATTGGTGATGTTGTCGAAACAAGATCAAGCGATCTCCAAATAGACAATCAATTGAAGCAAGAGCTCTTTAAAATCATTTCTCATTCTATTTTTTCTTCTACTGCGTT